AGTTTTTATATATTCGGAGTTGGGCAACCACGATCACTATGTAATTCCAGAACATTTTCATCCCCCCAAAGGAAACCCGTATCTGTTAGCAGTCGCTCCTCATTCCCCCTCCCCCAGGCCCTGGCAACCACTGATCTGCTTTCTGTCCCTGTGGGTTCTCCTATTCTGGACATTGCACACAAATGGAACCATACCATACAGGTGGCCCTTTGTGGCTGGTGGTGTTGATTCTTTAGCGCATCTTGTAGACGTTGTTCAGCTCATGTCAGGTCACCAAACATTTGCTGAATAGAAAGTCTGCTGAGCTCTGGGAAATGAATATGTATGAGGCAGTGCAAGGCCCTAGACATCGCCATCTAGTGGGGATGCTAGGCTTGGGCATGGGATACAACACCAGTGGCAGGTGTGAGGCCACAAGGTGCACAGGTGGTAGCCCAGAGAGGGACTGGGCCCTGATCCATGCCGAGGGTTCCACAGAGTCCCAGAGGGATGTGGAAAACATTCTGCCCTGGCCCACACCAGATGACTGGTCAGTGTATGTCCTGCCATCTTACAGAGACACCACCCCTCTCTTAAAAGATGGGCCTCCCTTCAGTTTCTCAGCTTTGCTGAGCCCCTTCCTTCCTTGGCACCTTTGCACAGACCTTTCTCTCTGCCTGGGAGACTGCGGCGCCCTCCTCGCTTCCACCCTCCACTTCCCCTGGTCACGTCTGGCCCATCCTTCAGGTCTAGCCTGAGGGTCATGTCAGCAAACCCTGGTCCAGGCTAGCCCAGGTCCCTCTGCTGGGCAACCTCACAGACCCCTGCATTTCTCCCTGTGGTGCTCATCACGGCTGCAGCTCACCAGTAAAGCTGTCATTGTGGGGTGTCTGTCCCGCCCCTTAGAACTGTAACCTCTGGGATGGTAGGGGCTTGTCTCATGCCCTGGGCCTGGCCAACATGCCAGATACCTGATACACATGGAAGTCACACGTGTTAAATGAATGACATCATTGCTAAGTATTCCAGGGACACTGAGATCCATTTATTTCCCTTTTAAGACCACCAGTTGTATGCTGCCATATTTGGGGCAAAGTCAATTTCAAGTGGATTTTTCCCCAGCAAAGGCCTATTTGTCCCCTGCCTGCTTTTTTGTTAACAGGATCTGAATGTGATTTTATCACAAGAGCAATAGCCCACTTGAGGCAATTGGTGACAAGCTCCTTCATGCAGTAAGTTATTTTGGGGATCTCGGTCACCACCTTGGTGATATACAAAGCCCTGAAATGACTTTGCTGAGAAGGTGGCTTGGGTAGACTTTTCACTGCGCTTGTTACTTCTGATCACTCCCGTGATATCACTTCGCACTCATTCCCTTAAATGAGAAGACAGAATTGGCAGCAGTCACTATTTCCATGCATGCTACCACATCAGTGAGGCTGGGAAATGCAGGGAGAATGGTTTGATGTCTTTTGGTCCATGACCCACCTAAAGAAGTACCGTGTTACAGAAAATAGGGTGTTGAGTGGTATTATTTGTAAGTTTTGCTCTTTGGTCTGTCCAATAGTCAATGGCTGAAACGCAGACGTTGTGGATCATTTTAGATGCTAATAAAAATAACACCGCATGGGGCTGTTTCCTTGGGTGAGAGGAAAAACAAAACAATAGTGCAACTCTAAGACCTTGAACTAGAAAAGACCCTGGCACGTTTTATAGGCTGGTGGCCACAGGCTAAGTGAAGAGATTCTTCATTTGAGCAACTTCACTTAATCATGTTAATTATTCATTGCGGCCCCATTCCAGAACTCATGGTACACGTTGCTTTACAATTTCTTGAGTGACAAATGTTTTTTAAGTTCATTAAAACTTTATTTAAAATGCTATGGACATATGGCCGTGCTAAAGAGGTGAGAACTGTAGGCTGCTGAGTTGCTGTATGAGAAGGAAGGGGATGGAGAGAGCCCCCAGCAGTCCTGGAGTGGGATATGAGAGGAACAGTATATGAATAGGAGTGATGGATATTGTGTTCAGGTCTTATTTTGACATGCTGTACGATAGAATCTTTAGAAGTAATAAATTACTGAATTATCATTACATCTCAGCAGGTGAATGTTGACAACTACATTTGAGACACAGGGAAACTGAGGCTCAGAAAGATGAAGTGACTTGCCCTGGGGATAGGGGTGACGATGCAGTGTCTTAGCCTGAGGATTCTTCAGCACTTGTGGTTCCGGGGTGAGGGGTGAGGGCAGCTGCTGGTTACCTTACCATGGCCCCAGGCACGTGTGCACGTCCAGTTCTGGTCTTGTGAGTGGGTCAGGATGGGTCTGCTGCCTGAAGACCGTGGCATCCTGGTTTCACTGCTGTCTCTAAACCATCCTCTCCTCCACTCCGACCGGGGTGGATGCTCACCAGTCTGAGCAGACATTAATACGTATTCCTCACCTTCCTTCCAGGTGGTGGCCGTGCAGTCACACACGTCCATCAGTGATTTAGATTTGTGCTCCCTTGGAGAAGGAGCAGTGACTACTATTCAGTGTCTCCCTTTGACCAGTTAGAATGACCTTTGTTTCTAAGTGATGTTTTATCCCAACCATGGAAATGGCCTATTTTCTAGATGTGCCTTGGCAGGGTTTCCAAATATTCTCAACACATGGCTTCAGTAGGGTGATGCAAGGAATCAAATCCCTGAAACACTCCTACCGGAAGGCTTCCCACTTACCGTGCACTTGTTGAATGCTCCTGTGTTTCTGATGAGGCAAAGGACAGGACTGGGGTAGGGGGGGAAACAGTTCCCCCAAGGACACACAGGACGGCAACTGAATCTAGCCCTGAGTTACTGTGCATCCATTTCCTTCAACAGACTTAATTCTGCTGTGAGCAAGGCATTGGTCGAGGTGTTGAGGGAATCCACAGCCAGCCCTCATAGTTTTGAGTCTAGCATTAAACCTGAACCAGTTGCTTTGTCATTATCTGCCACTCTGATTGCACAGGGAGTGGGAGAGCCCTATCAAAGTGTATATCTGGGAGACTTGGTCTAATCTTGTTCAGTTGAGCTCTGAAATATAATAGAAGTTGATTGGGAAAGGGTTGAGGAAAAGGGATTCCCAGGAATGCAAGATCGGAACTGACATGCGGAGCTCCAAAAGGGGAAGAAGCAGGTGTATTTGAGGAATAGAAAGGAAGACCGTGCTTTGGTGGAATGAGGAGGGGGAGATGGTCGAGATGGCTGGGATGGCCGGCAGGGCCAAGAATGCAGCCTTGAATGACACAGGCGCTTGGTTGTTCTCCAAGAGCAGTGGGAAGGATTCAACCAAGCAGGACAGTGGCCTAATCTATTAATATTTGCCCTTGAAAGAGCGTCACTAGCTGCTGTGTCCAGATTCCAGACGGCAGAGTCTGCACGCACTCAAGATTCATGCTGCCATCACAGAAATGTCCACAATAAAGGAGCTTTGCTTTTATTTATACTTTCTTACCAGTTTTGCTATTGTAGATCAATAACATTACATGCACTAAATTACTACATTTATTTAAAAGAACCGAAAGCTATTTATTATAGAACTTTTTATGTTTTACTACTAGAAATGCTGAAGGTAGATCCAATCCTGTAAAAGATATTGAAATACAAAAATTTTGTCCCCGTCCTCACAAATTATTCTGGTAGATCTAGATTGAGCCTGGATAGCAAGAATCACAAACCAACTGACAAGCATGACGCACCTGTCTAAACACTGAGCAGTTTGTTTTCTTGAAGGATACATTTCCTTGACAGCCACTCACAATTTCACCTACAGGAGACACAGGAGAATTAGCTTGTGATTAAACCGAAGTGTCTACACAGTGCGTTGCTTATTGGGAAGTGTTGGGAAACTCACCACCCTGAGCACCGATCGCTGAGGCAAACCCTTGCGCCTCACCTGCACCCAGGCAGACACACCCTTCACCCCATGGGCCTGCTGCGCTCTGAAGGCTGGAACCTCAGAGCGTCATGTGGTTGTGAAGCCTGGAATGAGCCAGCACAGCACCGTGGACCATCACAGCTACGGGATCAGGACACCAGGGTTCAAGCCCAATTCTTCTGGGGAAAATTGGGCTGATGTGACCTGCCCGTAGGAAGTTTGTGCGATTCGACAAGATGATAAATGTGAAAGCAGAAACCCCACAATGGAGAATGGCATGCAGCACCCGGAACAGTTCCAAATTTCTTTTGTTAGAGGAGGACCTTTTTGGCAAGCATAATCCATAGACACGGTTTAAAGTGCACACACATACACACTGAGGGCTGTTGGGTGGGCTGCTTTCATGGGGTCTCTATTGGGCACCAGCTGAACGCGCTCTTTGGCAAGGGTTGCCCCCGGGTGGCAGACCTGTCTCCCCTGCAGACACACCCTCCTGCCTCATCTGCCCCCTTCTTGCACCCCAGCTGGTGAGAGCTGTAGCTCATTGGAGGGACTGGGCCTCTCCCGCCAGAGGTCTGCTGAGTTTGCCAGCACAGGCATATTGTAAAATGCTTTATTCACTTCGTGACTCAGAAGGTTTATTTCATTCGTGAGGAACCACTTTACCGCGAGGCGGAGACCAGCATGCCCGCTGGCTTTCTGCGGCGCACCAGCTATATTGCAGGACTCTGGACGGAACTTGCTAAAGAGAAATTATGGCCCCGAGGATATTTAGATCCTGTAGAGATGGCTTGAATTCTTCCAGAATTTAGAATTGATTTTAAAAATCAGGAATACAAATCCAAGTTGATGCGATGCTCAGATGTGAGTTAAAGAAATAAAGGGAAGAGAGAATCAAGTACTCATTTTTTTAATGTTTAAATGCTAGACATGACGACAGTTTGCAGAAGCTACCAGGATTTATACCTCCAGCATTGTTTCTGTTTTTTTTAGTCTTTCAGGGGTTTTGTAAGCAAACAAGTTCCTGGAACAGGTGGGAAAAGTGCTTTCTGGGAAACGTAACTGGCCACATTTGAATGACTAGTAACCGTGTCTCCCGTTCTGCTGTTTCCTGCCTAGATTCCTTTGTGGGCGGAGTCATTGGCCTCATTTTTGCATACATCTGCTACAGACAGCACTACCCGCCGCTGGCCAACACAGCTTGCCATAAACCGTACGTCAGTCTGCGAGTCCCGACCTCGCTGAAGAAAGAGGAGAGGCCCACTGCCGACAGCGCGCCCAGCTTACCTCTGGAGGGGATCACCGAAGGCCCCGTATGACTAGTGTCCTGGGAGGACGGACGCTGAGCCCCAGGCACGCTCTTCCACCCTGATTCTGACATCGTAACACGATAGAAAAGGTTTTCCGTAGTGTGTTTATCATCAGTTGTTTCTCAAAGTTATCCTTCTTCTGCTTCCATTTCGCCCCGGTATTCCTGCTACTTTCAACGTCTACTTTCAACATTCTTGCATCTGCAAGGGAAGGACACCAGGAACATTCTCTGAGAGACGTGTGGAAGGAGGCTGCAAGGGTGGGGTTGGGCAGCTCAGCCGATTCCTCTATGTGCAATGTCTGCTGTAGTAGCCACCTTCCTGTGTTTTCATGGTTGTAAAACATAATAAAACCTCCCACCTGAAGGCTTGGTGTTGGCCGCCGAGTGCAGCAAACGTCATTCAGAGATGCAGGGAGTTTCACAGCTGAGGGCCAAAGCCAGCTCTGTCTGTAGGTCATTCCAGGTGCTGAGCTTGGAAGACAGGCTGAGAAGCTTTCTGAGCCATCAGCTTCTCATAGCATTTGTCTCTGAAATGGATGTGAAACTCAGAGCTACTAGCCTTACCAGTTCCAGGGCTTTTTGAATCTAGAAGCAAATGAGATGAACGACTTCATGCATAGACCACCACCAAATGCAAGGAGCATAAAGATGCGTGAGTGTGTGTGTGGGGGAGGTCACTGCAGTGTCTGGGGGCTTTGGGCACAACAGCCTTCCAACCTTCCAGTCTAGGTTTGTGAGCCAGTTTGGTAGCTCAGCCTCTTACAGTGAATTGTTTTGGGAGGAGGGCCTTACTTGGCCCCTCTGCAGGAAGTGGTGTGACTAATCCCACAGATCAGGAAATTCATGCCTTGCCTTGAGTCCGTCTCAAGGGAAAGGCCAGGTGGCCACTGGAGCTAAGAAGCGGCTTCAGGGTAAGAGTTGTTCCCCTTCAGGATCCAGGTTTTGCAGAGCTCTGCTCTAAGAGTTCAAGTGGCAGTGTGCTCCTGTCTAGCAGGAAATGTTTCTGTGTGATGGGGCTCTTGTAGAAAGTACAAGAACAGAATCAGAAATGCACGATGTCTCTACTCAGCTCTTTGCACTGTTGAATGCAGCCAGTTGATACTAACATGTTCCAGTCTGAGTTCATAGCACGCTGCTCCTTGGCCAGCTTGTTTTCTTCAGAGCAGTGACATTCCCTTCATCCAGTTCTGATCGGATGCACCACGTGGTCCTGTAGATTCCTGGGCCTGGGTGCTGCGAGGTAATGCGTCTTTGACGTCCAAAGAATGTCACGTTCAGCAGTTAGCATAACAGACTGCATTTTGAAAGACTCAAGTGGCCGTATAAATTGTCAGCTGAGCAGCTCTGGGCTGAGTGTCCAGTTAAAAGCATGAGGATGCCTTTGATCAGCCATTTCTGCTGTGGGCGTAACCGTGGAGTGCGCGTACCCCCTGTAAAGACCTTGCTCGGTGAGCCCCTGTGCAGCCCTCTCCAGCGGCGATCTTCCGAACTGGCCTTGGCACCGAGCCGTGTGCTTGTGCCATGGGCAAAATGGGAGAGGGGAAGGCTCGTGTTGACTTCCATCTGAAGTCAAACCATTGATTTGTAAAAATTACGGCAGTTTCACTGACAAGCAACTTTGAGAATGAATGTGAGATACTTGAAAAGCTAAATCATAGCGATTCATAAAACATAATTTTAAATCCAGAGCTCAAATTCATATAAAATTAGAAAATTAAACAATATCCAGATTTAACTAAACATTCTATAATTTTCAGAAATAAAACCAGAAATAGAAATGCAGAAAAAGGCTCCTTTGCTACTGTTTAAAAAACAAACACACAAAAAAAGATATAGCTCACATCCTTATTTGATTCTAGTTTTACTCAAGTTCTGCAATAGCAAGCAGGAGGAAAGTGAAAGGTTTATACTTCAGTTAATGATGACTTAAAATCCAGGACCGTGAAGTGTAAATTTAATATAAATACTTACATTTAAAGATAAATGGCCAGGAAGGACTCCGCAAAGTAACAAAGAACAGAGTATTGTTAATGCTCATAATTACATTGAAAGTCTTAAGACAGGCCATGTAAAAGCTTTGATTAAAATGTAATTAAAATGACAAAAGACGTAATAACATGAAGTGTGTGGCAGGATCCTCAGGAGCCGTAATTAATGGTGGGAGCCGGTTCACGAAGGCAGGTGTTTTTGTGGATCCATATGTTTTAATTTCATGCACTGTTAATGCGAAGTAAATGTGGAAGTGTAATGAACCAATAAAATGGCCATGAATGAGGGCGTTTGTTCCTCAGCCCCCGATCCGGATGCGAGGGGTTATGAATTCAGTGCGCACGGTATGAATTGCCAGGGCCACCCTGGAGGCTGCGGGCTGCAAGGCTTCTCTTCCTTTGCTGAGCAAACCTGCCCAGAGTCCATCTAAGAGATCACGAGGTCAGATACGTGGAGGGACCAGGAAAGTGGTGCAGTGAACGAGGCAGGTCAGGGCCATCAGGGCAGAGTATGGAGAACTAAAGAGCACGCACATGCCCAGGGACACGTGCTGACCCTTCTTAGCTCCACGTTGCTGTTGCCACGTAGGAAGGCAAGCCCGGTGTTGTCAGATCTTCTGATTTTTCAAGAGATGTCAAGAATCTACATTTTTATATAAAATTGCTTGATTTTACATTGGGCAACTATTTCCATTGAGATGCTTTAGGATGCGACTAACAAAATACCCTATTGATTAAGAAGCTTAATCAAGAGACTTATTAATATTATAAATGACAAGAAACCGAGAGGTAGGGGGTCTCAAGGGCCCCCAGCCCTTTCCATCCTCTTGCTCTACTATCTTCAGTTTGCTTCCCTTATCATCACAAGGTGGCTGCAGCATCCCCAAGATCACATCCCTCATCCAATCATGCTCAAAGGCAGGAAGAAAGGAACCTAGTCACATGACAGATAACTCTATTTATGGGTCTCTCTTTATCAAGGAAGTAAATGTTTCCCAGCATCCTTGAGAAAAATTTCTGTCGCCTACATTGGCTAAAATGACATTACATGGCCACCCCCAGAAGGAAGGGGGGCTTGGAAGAGTGAGTATCCAGCATTTTCAGCCTCTTTGGAGGAAGTGGATGCCACCTGCTTGGGAAAGCGTTTAGAGGATAGCTGTTCGATTGACAATGAGCTGTGTCTGCGACAGCACCAACTTGTTTAATGAAAATATAAACAAAAATGGCACATAGGTCAAATGAAAGTGTAGAGCAGGCTGTTTGCATCTGCCTTGGGGATCACAGGGCTTCTTGGTGGGTTACAATTGGAGGAGAAGAGCTGGCTCTTCTAACAGTCTATGTGGCCCTAATGCATTGCCCTTCTCCTAAAGAGCTTTTCTAACTAAAGCCACGGAGCTTGTTGTCTGGGCATACTCCATCTCCCTGAGCGTTCTGGCACATTCTTCTCCCCAACTCCACCTTCTTCAAGACACTGTCCTTTTCCTTAATTTCAACACTCCCTCACCTCCCTTTACTGTGTCACTAAGGACATGTTCCCTTCTTTCCAGTTCAGTGTCAACAGGTCACCTGTGCAGTTATCTGCTTCCTGTTTACATCTAGAGTTGACCCCGCATGGGAAGGCTCTTTCTTTACTGGGAAACACCCTCACACACAGGGGTAGGGTCCCAGGGCAGTGATTGGCAACCCACACGCCCTCCCCACTCAAACCAACCAGTCAGAAGGGAGGTAAGCCAATCTTGGTCTCACTCCTAGAACCTGGAATGGAGCTGAGCTGACTTAATGGCAGCCTCTTAGAGAAGACAAACACAAGCCCCATGTCCAGGGACCCCAGAGGCCCCTATTTGCTGCCGCCTGAGATGGCTGCTTCAGTCCTATAAGCCACTCAGAGCCTGCCAATGCATGCACTGTTTTCCCACTGGAGTTGCTTTCTGTTGCTTACAACCAAAACATCTTCTGAGGGAGAACTTTAATTTCATCAGTTCTAGCTCCCTAGGTACGGAGGGGCTGTTTCCAAGGGGTTTACAGAGCATTGCATCGATGACACCAGGCTTCACAATTCCACTCTCAACTTTCAAAACTGAGCTCTCCAAAGGTTTGCTCATCCATCATGCAAACCCAAGCTGGAAATTTCGAGAATTCCTGGCAGGTAGTTAATCTAAACTGGAATGTTCCCCCCAAGCCTTTAGCATTCAGTGATTCGAAATCCTGGCACACTTGCAAAATGAAATCACCCAGCTCCAACAGCTAAAATAAGGAAGGCCTGACACAGTGCTTGGATCTTGCTCTCTGTCCCAAGTTCAAAACAAACTAAAACAAAAACCACTTTCTTAAGTTTTAAAAATCAAACTTTCAATTTCAGTGTAAAATTGACCATGAATTTTTAAGACGTGGTGCTTCTTTGGGGAGTATTTTTTCCCTTGCATGTGTGTTTGTGTTTATGCCTTTAGAACTTTGATGGGCATGGGCTCTCTCTTCTCACATGCCTCTTGCTTGGGGACACATGTACCTGCTTTCAACAAGCAGAACTGTTAACACGTTAGCAAATGGCATTGGTAACCCATGGCTATAACCATCCTAGAACAAAGAAGTCTGGCCTCAGTGGATTAATACTTCAGTGTAGTTCACACCATCGCTACTGTGTGGGAAGTAGAGGAAATTTAGAACTAGAATCCCAGAAGCAGTTTTGTGGGGTTTGTTTGTTTTTTGTGAGTGGAAAGGAAAAGAGATGGCCTTGCCCCAGTTTGTCAAAGGGAGTTTCACAGAGCTGGTCCGGCTTTGAGAAAATACAATACAATTTAGGTGTGATTAACAGATTCTGAATTCCCTTCTTAGAGATCTAAAATGTACAATAGCATATTAAAGGCTCTGAGAAGTCCTGCAGTAAACAAATTGACCCCAAAACATGCCCCTTTTCATTCCTTGGTGACACCTTTTAACGCCAGTGCTTGGTGTGCTGCTGCCAGGACTACTTCCCAGTGGATTTCTGTGAGTGGTCAGGAATGATCGCGCTCCCAGCGACGATGACAGTAACACCTCAACACAGTGTGTGGTGTTGGTGGGTGAGCCCCTGTGGCTTCCCCACTCTGACGCAGCCTCTCTTCTTGCTTTGCCCTGGAAGGATCCCTGGACTGACACAGACCACAGTCACAGATGCCTTGGGGACCTCACACACTGTGATGCTAAACACCTGCTTTTATCCATATACGCCCCTCTGCAAGGCTAGCATGGGAGTGTGGGGAACCCTTAGAATGGGGCCAGGCAGCCCTGCTAACAGCTCTGACACTTAACCTTGAGCAAATGGCTCCATACCCACAGGCCTCAGTGTCTGCATCTGCAAAATGGGAGTACTACTAACCTTATATGATGGTTTAGTGATTAAGAAT